AAGTGCATGAGAGCTTCCGAGGTGGATGAGCGTCGTTTTCTTAGGCGGACCTTCCGTTGTCGTTTTTGTCAAGTCGAACCCGTCGACCACGGATTCACCCCAGCAGCCAGAGAGCGCGTCCAAAGCCCATAGAGCGCTGCGATGAGACGGGGCCAAGGAGAAACGGAGCAAAGCGCCCGCAAAGCCGAAGAAGCCAACATTACGTAACGACGCATCCAATCGCGTCTTTTTCTGGCTTTGCGCTTTCCCCGTCCACTCCGATGTCCTCTCCGCCTTTGACAGAGGCTCCACCCACCTCTGGTCCTTTTACTCGTCTCGTACGCACCGTCAGTGGACGAAACACCACTCTGGACCAACCAGCACACGATGCATCGACTTCTACTGCAACAACGGACGAATCCACAACAACGCCTTCGACTTCCACTGCCTCCTCTCAGACCCAGGCACAAAAACGCAAGTTCAGTTTGACGAAGAAACTTAGACAATTCGGTGGGAGATCCAGGAAGGGGAAATCCAAATCTACCGAAGAGTCGTCTGGTTCCTCTCCAGCTCTCTCCTCGCCTGCTTCTCCCATGCTCTCAACCGACCTCGTCTCTGGTCACCTCAGATCCATAACCGAAGATCCCTTCTCCTCCCTCCCTCCCTCCCTCTCTCCTTCACCCTCCCCCATCCCCTCCTCCTCCCTCCCACCAAACCCCGACTCAACCACCCTCGCCGAAAACCTCCGTTCCCTAATCGACTCCCTCCCAACACCAACACCACCTCCACCCCGTCCTCGTAAAATCCCTACAAAACCACCCACCTCCAAACGGGATAGCAACGGAAAACCCATCCCGCCTCCAGCGCCGACGGTTATTCAAGAGAAATTGATGAAGTTGTTGTCTAGTGCGACTTTTATGAATGGGTCGAAGGAGCAGGAGAGGCCTAGTGTTTGGAGTGTTTTGGATGGGTTGGGTAAACCGGGGGGTGGTGGTGGTGGGGAGGACGACGGTGGGGGTGAGGGTGAGTCAGGGGAACCGACGATGGAGTATCCGGATAATACGAGCATAATGCTCACGTCGCCACTTATACCAACCAAAGACGATCTGGTAGAGTTGGCTTCGTCGGATTTTATGCCGTTTTCACCTTCGGCGTACGACACTGAAGGCACCGTCGTAGAAGAGGGAGAGGAGGAGGAACGGGAGAAGATCCCAGAAGCTGGATGGATGGACGTATGGCCGTTGACTATGTTCATGGGGGCGGGTTCGAGCGCGAGGGTGGAATCTAAACCATCAGCGAGAGTTGGGAAGCCGCAACAGCAGCAGAGGGTGTGGACCCCATCGAAGGACAAGTTATCTATCGAAGCTATGTGGTGGGGTTATCGAATGTACGTCCTCGTCTGCCTTCCTCCCTTCCTCCCTTGTCTTCCCATCCTTCTCCCTCTCGTACTCACCCTCCCTCCCCCAGTTACCTCCCCCCACCTGTCCTCCTAATCCTCTCCGACCGTCAACTAGAAGCCACAAAACGAGCTGCCCTAATAACAACCGCCTTAACATGGTTCTTCAACAATCTCCCTGTGTCTTCGTTACCACTTCCGGTACAGCCAGTGGTTATATTGTTGCAGAGGTTGGTTCCGTATTTGGGGTATATTGGGACTTTTATTAGTTGGAGTTGGGGGACGATTAAAGGGTATGATAAGGGTGAGTGAATTCGAGTTCGAGTTTGGAGGAAGGAAGGGTTTCTTTGGGGTGCTGACGTGCGGTTGTCGTTGTGTAGGGAGTGGGGTGACGTTGACAGCGACTTGGATACTTCCGTTCGCACTTATACCAGGTTCGTTCGTCCTTTCCTTCGCGCTCCGATTATTCTTCTCATCCCTCATTTTCGGTCCCTCAGCGTCAATCCCAGTTGACCCGTCATCACCACCACCACCTCCTGGTCCAACTCATTCAACGCCGACAAGTCCATCGTCATCGCCAACGTCACCTGCGCCAACAAGTCCTCCTACGTCGCCTCCGTCTCATTCAACACCCTCAACACCAACGAGTCCTACTTCGCCTCCTTCTCATTCAATACCGACTTCCCCGGGATCACCGGGATCAACGATACCTTCACATCCAACCTCCCCGTCTTCACCTCCTTCTCAAAAACCATCCCACCCCGGCATCGGTTCTGGCACCGGCGCTGGAGGTAGTGGTGGTCCTAGTGGGTCAAGACCTCCTGGTGGTGGTGGTGGTGGTGGTGCGGGTGTGGGTGGTGGTGGTGGTGCAGGTGGTGGTGCTGGTAAACATGGGTTCGTGGAGGATGGGCCCGGGGTGGTCACGGTAGTGGTTGCAGAGTCGAAATCGAAGAAGAAGACGAGGAAGGGTATGTGGGGTTTGAAGTTGGGGAGTAAGCCTGCTACGTAGGAGGTGGGCGTGGGTGGGGTGGGGAGGGGGGAGTGGGGAGAGAGGGGGACGCGAGGGGGAGGTGGTGGAGATCCGGACACGGTTGGGGTTTTATGATGTTACGACGACGACGAGGACGAAACTAATGACGACTTTTTATGATAGATAGATCAATAGTACGGTGGATGTAATGTGTAATAACTTGCTTACTGTGTTCTATTCGAACCCTCAGTCAGACTCGACGTTCGCCTCATTGTAAGAATTGTCGACTCAACGTTGATACTATATCTCTCATAGTACAACTGGTAATACACACATTACTTATTTGAAGGCGTTGCGACCTGGCATGATTATACGTCGGTGTGAGATCTGGGTTCGATTCCCGGTGGGAGAGCTCAGAAAGGCGAGTGCATTTATTTTATTTTATTTTATTTTATTCCTCGTTTGATGCATACAGTACACTGTAGGTATCCACACTTTCTCACTCTCTCCGTTGATTACTTAGCAGATATTGAAGTCAACTTCAATCTCTTATGGTATAACAGGTTAATACACACACTGGGTATTTTAGTGAGACAACGAGGTTGATTGTCGATTATCTGTGCGAGATCTGGGTTCGATTCCCGGTGAGAGATTCAGGATTTGGTGTTTTTGCTCCGGGGTTTCAGTGAGAGGCAGTACGTTAGCATTTAATTCTAAACTTGGACTTGGCAGTTGTTCTGAGGAAGTCTCCAGAAAGGTGTGGAGGAGAAATGGGACACAAGGAATCCTGTAGGACCACGGTCACGCTCCAGAAAACTCTAGAGATCTTATTCATATTGCTACTGCCATAATAGTACATATCATCGACAATTATGAACGGGGTCACCATAGTATGTGCCGTCGTACACTGAAGGTTGGGTGATGGGTTCCAGGAACCCCCTTGGAGTTGAGTTCCTTGTGAAACTGTGCGTTCAGGTTCTCTTGATCTACGTTGTCCTCCTCATCCTCAAGGGTAAGGGTCAACTCGCTGATGGGAACATTCACCCCTACAAAACACTGAACCATTTCGCAAACTGCAGCTAAAACCTCCTGGCCATTGATATCCCCCAATTCTAAAGAAGAGAGGTTCGGTACTAAACCATGGGCATTGGTAAGAAAATCAAAGATTGCTCTTGTGAACTTATTGCGTCGGAATCGCTTGTTGGATTCGTAGTGCCAGTATGAAGGGAGGTACAATTTTAGTGTCTTGAGAGACTGAAGCGATGAAGTCGACGGTTGGACATCCAATCTTTTGAGGAGATGTTGTTCTGTGAACATATCAGACGTGAAGGCGATATCAAGGTTCTCTAGTTGACACTGAGCCAGCAATTCTTTTAGGGCTATCTCACTATCTGTTACCTCAGTTTCAAGGAAGCTGAGATTCTTGATGGCCGGTAATATCAGTCTGTTTAGAAGCGAGCTCACACTGTCACCATGGCAGATGCCAAGTTGCAATGTATGAAGGTAGGGCAGAGTGACTTGGAGAACGTCCCAAGTATCATCGGTGGGGTGAAGACCGCCAATTCGAAAGTCAACAATATTGGTGGTTAACTGCAGGCAGCAGTGGACATCGTCGACGGGAGTGGGCTGACCCAGGTTAATTTCAGTTAACCTGTTTCCGGACAGAGTTGTAGTTGGGGCTAACCGCCCATACCATCCGAGACGGGAGATGTTAGGTAAGATCCGAAGCTTTTCGTAGAGGCGTTGAGCATGGACAAGATCCCAGCCGACTACATTGAAACTGGCTTCCTTGAGGTTTTCTAATTGACTAGAGTCGAGATCGAGTAATTTAGTGAGGATCTCGTTATTTCTTGGATCTGACACTTGGATGTGGCACTCGAAGCGTTTGCAACGTGTGATTTCGCGATAAAAAAGGTCAAATACCTCGGGTATAACGGAAATAGAACTCTCAGTGAAGTCGTTCGAGTACTTGCGTTCATTGATCACCACCTCGAGCGCGCGATTAGCGGAACGGCGGAGCGCTGATCTCAGTGTTTCGATACTTGCATCTGTTGGCTGATAGATCAAGAATCGTGTCCATAGCTCTGGTGTACACATCACAAGTGTCGACCAAGACTTGGAGACCAGACGCAAGACCCAAACATTCGGACCTTCCATGCGAATCGGCTTTGAGGAAGGGGTGAAGTAAGGGTGTATATGTGTAAAGATTTCTTGAAGGATTTCATGAGGGATATTGTTTATCGGGGCTTCAGTGGACCTTTGATCTCCTGTTACGTCTGAAGGCATCTTCACGGGTTGTTCGTTGACGAATTCCTCCTGAATTTTGCGAGCCTTATATACCTGGGGGAAGGGGCGGTCGGTGAACTAGCTACTTTCCGATGGCAATGGCGCAACCCAATATCGCCATTCATTCATCCAAAGGAGTCATGGTGGCCACGACAAATCATAGAATGCGCCGCAGTGGCGGTTCCTCGCCTCTGTGCCGCAAAGAGTGTGCCGAGGGAGTATCATCCCGGCTAGAAACTTCAATCATGACGCCGCCAAAGTTGGCTGACTTGGCCACCCCCAAGGACCGAAAGTACCTACTCGATCGTTAGGGTTAACAACAATGGTTGTTAAATTTGGTACTGTGGGGTTTTGTCGATTTGATTGGCCGTGTAACTCGTTTTGTTTGTTGCTCTCGTTCTCCAGCCTTCGAATTCCAGTGTTAGACAGACATTCTGAGCCTAGACCGATGGAGATAATGATTTCGGGTTCCAATCTCTCATCGTATAACGGTAGATTACATACACGATATCCGAAACCAAAGGCGTTCCGTGTAGGATCTGGGTTCGAATCCCAGTGCGAGAATGAGTCGTCTCGAACAAGAGTTTTTGAATCTGAGCCTGTTGGTTGAAAATTTACGTTCGGTGTTGTCACGCGTTTTCCTCTGTTGAGATCACAACGGACAGGCAAGACGAAGATCTAAACGGTCTCGCGACTTGCGGATGTGTCCTATCATGCAGAGTAGTCCCTAGACAGCGACGGCCCCTTCAAACCGGAATCTCTCGTCGTATAATGGTTAATTATACACGCACCTGGTGACCCGTCTCGATAGTGTTGAGTCTGTGGGATCTGGGTTTGAATCCCAGCGGGAGAACTGTTCATTTCTGCGTGTGCGAGTTTTTGTCGGACTGGTTGGTGTGATGAACGAGCATGCGTTCCAGTTCTCGAGGAAAAATAAGTTCGACGAGTTCCAGGACGTTGTACGTACTGTATATTCCGGGGCTCATGCTATTTTCATAAATGATGTCCAGCACGAAAAGAAAAGTGAAAGAGATAAGTCGGTTGTCTTAGAGTCTTCTTACGCTCGGTACGTCCGAGATTTGGATGGAATAGAGAATGATGGGGCAAGGTCCAGCAGACCTTGGTGCGCCCGAGAAACGGTGGGGAACAAAACGCGAGGGTGGGCGGGTAGCCAGCCTTGCGATAAATGGTTTCTTACCTTTGTTCCTCACCGTTTCTCCAACGCGAAAGGCTGGCAAAAGGGAGTGGTGGGCGGGTTCGAAAAGGTTTGGGATGAGCTCGAAGGGAGCCGATTGAATGTCGGCGACGACGGGATGATGGTGGCCGAGGAGAGAAAAGATGAGGTCACGTGGAGTGGGCGTGTCTCGCTTCATCGCCGCTAAGACCACACTCAAGCCCTGCGGGCTTGACTCAACATTTGGTCCAGTCTGGCTGCGACCTCCGAACGCCGGCCCCGATCCGTCGACGGTCAGCTCCGTCACAAAAAGTCCAACTTACGTAAAGAAAGCCTTCACATCTTTCTGCGTCCACGACGAGCTCGAGTCAACCCTCCCGCCCTTACTTGCATCAGGGTTGGACTCCTGAGGCCTCTGGTTCCACACCACTAGGGGAACTTCCTATCTACGTTTTGATCGGAGAGATCATACAAACACGCTGTACCGGGCAAGAAAGGCGAAAAATATTCCAATAGTACTTTCCCGGAACTCCTCTCACTGGGAATCGAACCCAGATCTCACACGGATTACGATATCAGCAGCATATCTAGCGTGTGTATATTAGCCATTATACCCTAAGAGATTGATTTCTGACTTGGCCGACACCTCTTCCAGCGTTGCGTGTAAAACTCTTCGAAAGAGCCGAGGAAGTCAGGCGCCTAGACGGAAAGTTCAAACTTGAAAGGAGGAAGTAATACTCATATACCTCATATACACGCTACACGCTACATCGTGATTCAGATCACGATAACCCCCACCCTCAAAGGACGTCGTCGATTCGAAGACAGTCTCAACGGGACAACTTCACAAAGCGACATCGTATCAACAATTCGACCCAGCCACATTTTCGATTACACGAACAGTCGCCTTCCTGATTTCTAGCTTCTAAACGACGAGTGTATCCCCTCCTGAGGCAAAACGGACCTAATATACAGATAGCTCTCTCACCGGGAATCGAACCCGGATCTCACCCAGACGTTCTGATAATGATCTCGACATCAGGTGTGCGTACTACTCGTTATACTATGAGAGATGGATAACACTAACTGTCCAGGGTAATTTAGATCTTAAGGAGGCGACCAGCGAGGCTTGAGGCCGAGGGGTGACCATGTCAAACGAGTTGGATGGCGGTACTTTAGCGCTAATCAAACAGTGACGATTTCGTAGTAACATCTCCTCCAGGGTAGATAGGTAACCCAATACCGCTGCGGCGCGACCTGCAAGATCTCCATAGTTCCACCGAGATCCAAGCTGAATCAGCCCCGGAATATATAGTATGTCTAACATCCTTGAAGTCATCGACTTATTCTTCCTCAAAAACTCGGATGCATCTCGTTCATCACACCAACCAGTCTGACAAAAATTTAACTACCAAGTCCTCTCGCTGAGATTCGAACCCAGATCCCACACAAACTCAACGATTCTACAATAAGACGGGACCAGGTGCGTGTGTAATTAACCATTATACGACGAGAGATTCCGATTCAAAGTCACAACTCTGCATTATAGGACACGCCCAAGTCGCGAGATCGTTTCGATCTTCGCCTTGCCTTTACCTCACACTTCGAGCATGTCCGTTGGAGGAAAATGCAAGTCAAAACTCAAATAAAACCCCACCATCACAACGTCAAACGTAGTCCTTCAACCGACAGGTTCAGATCAAAAGGATTCTTCTAATCATCTGATTCTCTCACTGGGATTTGAACCCAGATCCTACAGAGAATGGCTATCTTTGTCGATATCATGTGTGTAATCTACCCTTATACGATGAGAGATTGATAACCCAGGACATCTTCAGCGCCATTTGAGACTCAGAACGTCTATGCCATTGCATACAACCTACCAAGCACCCAAGTTCGAATAAAACCATACTGACCTCTCTCAAATTCCGTCGGAAACACAGGGCATCGAAATCCGAAGACTACCTGCGCTCCATTCCCTCTCACGACAACCCCTACTCCTCTTCGAATACTTCCTCGCATCCCACTCAACCACTAGACCAACAGACAACTTCAAAACCACAATACCTCCCCGGGCCTTCCTCTGTCTCGCCCACTCCCAACCCCCAACCCCCGATCAAAAACACATGGCACATCTCAACTTCCTATCCTCTCACCGGGAATCGAACCCAGATCTCACTCAGATAATCAACTCACTCAGATAACCAGTGCGTGTATTAAACCGTTATACCATAAGAGATTGAATATTTGCTACGTTATCAACAGAGAGAGTGAGAAAGCGAGAGAATGTGGATACCTGCAGTGTACTGTATGCATCAAACGAGAAATAAACAAAATAAGACCGTCCAGCGAGAAACAAACAAAATAAGACCGTCCAGCGAGAAACAAACAAAATAAGACCGTCCAGCGAGAAACAAACAAAACAAGACCATCCCGCAAATAAACAAGTTCTCTCACCGGGAATCGAACCCAGATCTCACGCCAAGAGCTTCTGAAGAACTTATTAGCATCCGCAGTGTGTGTATTAACCCGTTATACTATGAGAGATTGAATGGTATGTAGGTTTTGAATATTGGGCCATTCCCTAATGCCGAGGTGATCCAAAATTCGCATCCACCGAACCCTGAATCCCAGTGAAAAGTCGTACGCTATCCATCAAACCGGTCGTCAATTTCCTTCAAACCGTCATCAGTTTGCATCAGCGTGCATCAAAGGGATCGGAAATGGATCTGAGGACTTCGTCGAACGAGCTGGACGCGGTCACGTGACTGCCATCAGAGGACCCTTGCCAAAAGTCCGTGTTGGTTTTTGGTAAGGGTCCTATTAGGGTCGTGCTCGGTGCACTCTGCGTCTCCCCTCGCCGTGCATACTGCCTCCTTCGCAAGGCCGGCTATGTGATCTATCTCAATATGACTGCAGCAACCTCTGGCTACTATTACAACATGTTTTCCGTGGTATCTTGCCCGAAATTCGGCAATTGGGCTTCTTGAACAACCTCGTCCTCGTTTTTTGCAAATTTCATCGGAATTCATCGAAATACATCAATTCACCTCATTCTAAGTATCTCGGTATGTGATTCTACCTCAAAGTACAACTTGTTGATCCCAAACCACCACAATGCCTGCTTCCAGAGAAGATCGTTGGTGCACTTGCGCACAGCATTGCGGCTTTCGCGAAGGTGGTGGCCGCTGGCTGCCCCATTCTACGTTCCACTATCACCAGCGTATTCAGAAGGAGAAGCGGCTAGGCGGACTTGCAGCACGCTCGGGAGTCTCGTCGAAGAAACGCCGAAAACAAAAGCAGCCGGGACTGGTATGTATTTCATGTTTCTTTTGTAATGTCACCCGATGACATTTTGGTATAGCTACCTAGTATACAGGCTGGCACACAAGCAGCTTCGCCGGTACATTCACCAGGCCGAGTTTCTCCACGCGCGTCGCCATCTCCACCTCCGCGTACACCTTCTCCGCCTCCACGTACACCAACACCACCTCTTCGCATACCTACACCACCGCCTCGCATACCCACACCGGCACCGCCTATACAACTCTCTGTCGACGGAACTATAGGTGACAATAACCGGCCGCCTTCCCCGACGCTGTCCGAAGAAGACAGAGAGTCTGTTCACGACGAGGACGAACTACCCCCGCCAAATCAAGGCGCAGATCAGCCTCCGGAAGTTGAACAGGAAGAGGAGCCAAGCGCATCTGAACCCACGTTGCCTGACTTGAAAATGGCGCAGGCAATTATCAAGTCCATTCGGGAGGCACAACTCGAGGACGACATCAAGGATCCAGTTCTCCTGGAGGCTCTTCGCAACCCCCGAAACGAACGTATTGAGATTGACGCCAGTCTCGACGCCTCTCTTCGAATCTACAATGCCATGGCCGATTGTTCGGAGCGTGCATACACCCGCGTCGCCCACGTTCTCAACGAACTTCGTCCTGACCTACCCATCCTTTCGTATTATGTTGTCAAGCACCGCATACAAGAACTCACCGGAGTTGTCCAGCTCACTTTTGACATGTGTCCCAAGTCCTGCCAAGCATACGTTGGCGAGCTCGCAAATGATGACACTTGCCGAGTCTGTGGTTTGTCGAGGTGGAACCAAGAGAAGTCAATGGATGAGAGCAAAGTACCTGCGAAAACTTTCCAAACCCTTCCACTTGGTCCGCAGCTGCAGGCATTGTACCGTTCCCCCCTTGTTGCTCGTTTCATGCGTTATGGGTATGAGCGCACTCAGGAGATCTTGAAGGAAACGGAAGCGAAGAACGAAACCGAGGTTCTCGAGGATGTGTACCATGGTTCAGAGTACATCAAAGCAGCTCGTGAGCAGAAGATTGGCCCCAATGACCCTGTCCTCATGCTTTCCATCGACGGGGCCCAGCTCTACCGGAACAAGGAATCCGATTGTTGGTTTTTCGTTTGGGTTCTAATGAACCTTCCCCCCGAACTCCGATACAAAAAGGAGTATGTCATTCCTGCTGCAATTGTTCCTGGCCCAGAAAAGCCAACAAACATCCCTTCATTCCTATTGCCAACACTCCGACACACTTCCGCGTTGCAAAAGGAGGGCCTAAAGTGTTGGGATGGCTACCTTGGGACTCGGATTGTGGTCCGACCATTTGTCCTAGGTGGAGGTGCTGATACGGTGGCGAATACCATCCTAACCGGTCATGTTGGCCATGGTGGGCGGTATGCTTGTCGTGTTTTTTGCGGGATGCCTGGGCGTCGCAAGGAGAATGCTTCAATGTATTATCCTGTTACCCTCCTTCCCAATAATTATGACGTGGAAAACTGTACCCACGCAGACTACGACCTTATGCCACCACGCCCACCAGATCCCGACGCCTATCAGGAGCACCTAACCTTGGTTCTTTCCTCGGCCACGAACGCAGCCTACGAACGGAACCGACTTGACACCGGTGTTGTTCGTGCTAGTTTTTTCCTTGGTTTTTCTCCAAACCATTCCCTTCCTGTACCAAACTGCTTTCCCCTCGACTTGATGCACCTCACCGCCATCAACCTTCCAGAACTTTTCGTCAAGCTTTGGCGGGGAGTTATTCGGGCTGACAACACTCACATCCGTGACTGTGAGCATGCTTTCCTAGTTGGACCAGCGTGGAAGGAACATGGAGCATTGGTAGCCGGGACAAGACCATATCTCCCTGGCTCATTTGGACGTGTCCCTCGCAACCCTCAGCTCAAAATCAATTCGGGGTACAAAGCTTGGGAGTATATGCTATATCTCTGGGCACTAGGTCCTGCGGTGTTCCGACCATACCTTCCTGATCGCTATTGGAAGAACTTTTGCAAACTAGTCAAAAGTGTTCGTATTGTACAACAACGGCGGATACTGGTTGCAGACCTTATCCAAGCACACAAAGATCTGGTCGAATGGGAAGAAGACTACGAAAACCTGTACTATCAACGTGATCCAGCCCGCCTCCACTACGTCCGCCCTTCAATCCATTCCATTGTCCATACCCCGATGGAGACATATCGCTTTGGACCACTAAACCTCGTTGCACAATGGACTCTCGAAAACACAATCGGAGGCCTTGTCCGTGAAATCAAGCAACATTCCAATCCATTTGCGAACCTTTCGGAATGCACTGTCCGCCGTGCGCAGCTCAACGCACTCAAAGCGATGATGCCGGGTCTTGTTCCGAAAAAACCTTTTCCCCGGGCCTCTGTCGTCCTACCCTGCGGGTTTGTTCTTTTACCTGCAGTCGATGACCATCTCCACCTACTTCCACCTCTCGAATATAATGCCTTGAAAGCCCACGTTGTGAAGATAACATCTCCCCAACTCCACGTTCTCGAAGAGGATATATTCATACAACGCTGGGCTTCGCTATTGCTGCCAACTCGGCAACGTGCACGGTCACACTGGAAGGAGACAGAGCGAAAGAGTCAGAACATTCGGAATTCACGCAATGTCAAGGTAAATTATTCTATCCATCTATTTCATTATACTTATCCTGTTCTTAGCTCGCTTTTAATGGAGAGCCACGATACGGCGAAGTTCAATATTATTTCCGATATGCGATTCATGGGCAAGCACATACGCTTGCCATGGTCTCACTCTACACCTATCCAGACCTCGACCTGTTGCGAGACTCTTCAAACACATTATATGCGTGTCAGTATACGGGGTCTGCTGGTCTGGTTGTTGTGGATGTCGGTGATATCATATCAGTTGTGGCCATGCCTCCCCTTCCCATCAAACCAGAGGAAGTACAATACTCTGGATATTTCTACGTAGCAGAAAAACCTTTCCTCGAAACGATGCAGTTTACAGTAGACGACGACGACTAGTTTGAACATTGTAACTTAGATTTTCTTTTTGAAATGTCATATACATGTGCAAATACACCTTGTCCTTGCCACTCACACCGTCGCTGTGGTCACTTTGCTTTTCATGATGATTTCAGCTTCATTCTTGGAAGCTTCTCTTCAACAGTTGTACTCCATTCAACACCGTGTTCCTCGTATCAAAGATGCACTCCAAAATCCCACCGAAATGAAGGACATGGTCAAACTCTCACGTCATCTTGTCCAATGCGCCCAAGCATGCATGGTTCTATCTGCTGGTCTTGCAACAAAAGCTCAGGCAACTACACCCAACATGGATGCTTCTCCTGAAGCCGGGCCTACTCAGAACACACAGACTGTCAATCAATTCGCATTTTCCCAAGTTATTAACGAGCATGGTAGCAACGAGACAAGCACCGAGTCTGAATCCACTTCTGGGCTACTCTCCGACGCTATTGCCAAGTACCGGACAATCACTTGTGGTTTGTTAGCTGTTGAAGGTAATCTGGATGACTTGAATGATCCTGTTGAGGAGGACGTCGAGACTGTAAGTAATCATGTTTTTTCTTCTTTTTCAATATATTTACTCATTTGGCTTTCGTTCACAGACTCAACAACTTAATATGTCTTCACTTGAGCGACTGAACATGCCTCCAAGGTCACCTTCTTATGGTTTTACTGCTGCGATCTTCAGTGATTCTGCACCATACCCAACATATGCCGACCTCGATAACTCGTTCAACAACCTGGTTCATTATGCTGCACGCCTACCAAAACTGCTGGATTCCATTGAACATACCTTTGGGCAGCCAACTCATCGGCTTACTGGGTCTGAAGCCTTTTACTCGTTGCGGAGTTTGGAGCAAATTACAACAACAACTATGATTCTTGAGCTCATCATGGCAACGGAATACCACCGGATCAACCAGACTGCCAGTTCTCGAGCATACCTTTGCCACATCAAATCTGCAGGACGCTCTCTTTTCACTGCCACAGACTTTACTTACCGTGTAGCTGCCGATTTTGATGATTTTCAGGTCTGTTTCCATACTTTCACATTCAACAATTTGTTCATATTCTCTTCCATAGCATACTTTACTGGTTCAAAACCAAGGGCATCCCATCCGGTATATCCTTGATGACGAGGACGAGTAAATACATGTTTTTGTAGTTGAACGCGTCCACGCACTGGACGTATTTGTATGTGTTTGTACCACCACCGATCAAAATGTTTGCACATACACGAATAACCTTGTCCTCTCGACTGCTATGTACCCAAACTGTCCCCAACCTCAGATGAACAATGCTCCTCCTTTACCTGCTTATCATGTTCCAAATCTTGCTTACTCGCAACCCAGCTACATGCCTCAGCCAACACTCGGAGCCGAAGATCCCAACATGGTCCCACGTTCAATTGGAAATCTGCCAGAGGCCAATTATGATATTCAACAGCTATACCTGGACAATATGCGGCTACGGTGAGCATATAATGCATCTAGAATAAAATCCAGGAGTTTTGACACGCATATACTTGCATGTAGTGAGAATGAAGCTCTTCTAAAGGCCCAGCGCGACGGAACTCAAATGGCCTTTACCCAGGCTATGCAATCTGTGGCTGCTGTATTGCAAGGTCAGCCTTTCCCTGGGTTTTTTCAACCAACGGCCCTGGGGGCAATGCCTGCTTCGACTCCAATCCAACCTGCACTCCCTTCTGGCACGATCTCGCGGTGTGAAATCACTCAAGACCAATGGAAGGAAATGTTTCCTCTCAGTTATATGCTAACAGAACTGCCTCGACCACCTGACCGGGACGATCACCCGGATGTACGGTTCTGGAGAAGAACCGAATGGCAATCATCGGACGAATTCCTGGCCTCAAGAGCACCAAAACCACCTGGAACAAAGAGAGGAAGGCAAACCAAGGCACCGGATGACCCACCTGGCCGCGATTTTCTGTCAATTGACTTTGAAGATGGAGTACCCATTCTCCACGAAACCGCTGAGGAAGTGGCCAAGTTTATACACGATGCTTGGGACCGGATCCATTGTGTCACCCGTGGCCGAGGTCTTGGCCTTCAAAACGGTCTGACGCCACTCTACATCCGTCAGCAACTTCAGATAGAACTTGTGCTAAGATTCTCTTTTCTCGGTCTCTGCGACAGTGGCTGGAAATCCCGCGACCTCGCGCGTGACTTGTACCCAAATTATGCAAGAAAATTCAAGCCGACGAAGAAAGAAGAGGACGCAAGTGATGACGACGACGACGAACTCGAAGACCGTCAAGATAATGGAGAAGGTACCATAGTCCAAGGAACATCACGAAAACGCTTGAAAGCACCACAGCAGAAAAAAGGTAATATCAAGCGTGTTAAAACTAACCACAACAGGAACTCTCAAGATAATATTATCACTCTCGCAAGTGCTTCGACAAGTGGGCTGCCAGCTCCACCAGCCCAGAACATCGACGCAACCCCTCCAGCTCCCAAGCCTGCTGAAATCCCAACACCGGCAAAAGATTTGAATAACCCCTTGTACCGTGCATTTCTTTCTTTATTTTATCATGCTCACGTCTTTCTTAGTGCATTGATTGAGCGTCCACGTCCCCAACCCATTGTACACAATCCCGCCCTCTCGTCTACAGCTACGATCACTACTTCAGCACCTCAAGCAACTCAGACCGAAAAAGAGGCAGTAGCCCCAGGCTCTGCAACGACCACTCCAGCAAACCAAAATGAAGCACAAGAGTCTCCACGGTACGCTTCTCTTTCATTTCCACCACTATCCACTCACATGAAATAATAGTGTGGATCCAGAAGCTACACTATCCAACCCAACACCCCCCGACATGACTATGCCAAGAACTGCACCACCAAACCCGGCTCCTACCAACTCTACCCCAGCTTCGAGCAACACCAACACCAGCCAAGCCACGACAGGTCTCAGATTCAAAATTTCACCTCTCACAACGAGAAGGGCACAAATGCCACCTCAACCGGCTCCCGAAGAGCCCCAAAACAGCATTGGTAGGCGCATATATTCAAGTTTTTTGATTACTCATACAAGTTATACCTAGATCACGTCGACGAAGGACCCTCCCGCTCGATTCCAACAACGGAAACCACCTCAAAGGTCAAAAAGGGTCCGGTTATGCACCCAACTGGTACAAATACACCACGGTGAGTTAATTCGCGTCGTCAAACAGTATTAATTACTTACTATGTCCTTCAGTGATATCGCTGCAGTCGAGTGGTGTGCACAACATGCCGGGGGTCTTAGAAGCGAATTCAATGACTGGTGGAAGGATATCGAGATGGATAAAACTTCGGAGGCGTACTTGGTATGTTTTCAACTCGTCTACCTGCCCAATCTAACCCGGTTTCGTCACAGGACTACAAACAACGAAACGACAAAGCTGTACGTGCCTATTCTCCTGCTCCCAATCCCCTCTGACATTGACCCCCTTCAATACAGCGTGGATCCGCTTCAAGTTCAAAGAAAGGTGTGTACTGACCTTTTCTGCCATCGTCGTTCTGAACTAACAGCCGTACAAGGACGAAAGTAGATGGATATGGGTGAACCTGAGGGCGACGAAAACCGATGGAACGACAGCAGGAATGGGTTGAATGGTGACGAAACGTGATGAATTTCATCAAGGGGAATGGGGGTGAGGTCGGATGGATATGGAGGGATTTTGATGGTTGAGGCGATGGACAGTGACGAATTCTGTACATGTTCATCATTTTCCATCCCACAATGCAACTGTGAATTGACCTGATGAATTCTGAATGGCACCAATGAAAATGAATGAACTATGATGAAATCGGATGAATTTGGATGGCCAGCACAAGCCACCAGGGTCAGGGTATTGCTTGTCCATATATGGGACACTATCTGACGAAAACCGATGAAAAATGCTGAATTGTTCATCACCTGTACAAGTTTTACATCGTTTTACAGAGGGTTTCATCATACCAGCGAAAACGGATGAATTCAGATGGAAAACGACGAACGACTTCTCACTGGGCCTGAA